CCAGCGTGTCGACCACACCACACAGCTTGGTGTCATCGGCAAACTTGCTGAGGGTGCACTCAATCCCACTGTCCATGTCGCCGACAAAGATGTTGGACAGTGCCGGTCCCAGTACCGACCCCTGAGGAATGCCACTCATCACTGTTGTCCACTTGGACACTGAGCTGTTGACAACAACTCTTTGAGTGCGACCATTCAGCCAATTCCTTATGCACCGAGTGGTCCATCCATCAAATCCATGTCCCTCCAATTGAGAGACAAGGATGTCATGTGGGACAGTGTCAAATGCTTTGCATTCATAACATTGTCAAATGCTTTGCAATTGTAACATTAATATAAATAGTATTAAATATTAAGTAATATAAACTACAAATTTGAGTATATACGCACAAAAAGGACATCTAGTAAGACACCGAGTAAAGGTTCTGGTGGCAGAAGGATTGCAGTGTTAGGCACTCTACTGCACAGGTTAGGATAGATGATTGAAATCAGACATGGGGCTGCATTATACAATAGTGAGGACATACCTCATACTGTCTTAACATATGTTAGATTTGCATAAACTCCTGAGCATTAAAGGATCCTGGGATCTGGGCTGATGGTTGAACTTGATGATCTTAGAGGTCTTTTCCAACCTTAATGATTCTATGATTCTATGATGTGACAGCCTGGGAAGGCACATAGCATGGCTTAAGAGTGAGGTTTTACTCTTCTCTGACCAATCTTTCTGGGCTGAAAACCACATCTATGTCAAATATGTATGCTTCAGCATCATCACGATGTTCTCTTTCAGTATCTGAAGCCAAACCTCACTGCCATCAGTATGAAGCTCTTTGGCTAAAAGTCTGGAGTTACATCCACACAAAAGAATTGCACTAGGTTCATGGGGCCCTTGTACTAGCTCAAAAGCCAGATCCTGAAGTGCCTGTTCAGAATGTGCAGAAAAATACAACTTTTTATAAATGAAATGTCATGGAAGTATTACTACTCAGATCACTACTTTTGCGAAACTTGGCTTAAAAAAAAAAAAAAAAAGGGCATTACTATAAACCAAGGACGGAACAGCTTCAATTCCTACAGCTGCTTCTTTAGCTTCAGAACAGAAATGTTTGTTAACAGTTCCTTAATACTGTATATATAGGGAAGTGAAAATACTGGATCCACACAAATTGGGAAACCTGCAGATTGTCCTGACATTACCCTGCAATGTTAGCTTTTAAATTGTAGCTTTTATGCTACAACACATAGCATACAAGATGGTACAATGAGTATTCTGGGCAAATGTTTTGTCAGCGTGCTTTAAAGCGATTAAAAGACTCAAGAATGCAGAAAGATGCATACAAAAGCTAGAAATTGGAATAATTTTTTGTCCAAATTATTATTTCATTTTCATTCAGAACTGCATATTTTTGCAAGTCAGAGGTCATTTTATAAGCAGACAACATTTTGTTTTATTGCTTCAGTAAGACAGGCAGTCCTCTTTAATTACAGTTACCAAGCAGAAAACTTAGCCAAACTATGTTTTAATTTTCAGTTGTACATTTTTCAAGTTAATTGCTTTCCCCTCCTTGCTATGCAATTCTTCTTTTATGCTTTTTGTGTCTGTTTTATTTTACATGTTGCTTTTATGGCTAAAAATTTTTTTGAGTTAGCATTTTCTTTTCCGACCAGCAAAAAGACATCTGGTAAGCATCATTATGAGTTCTAATGCACATTTGTAGCAGGATTATTATTAATAAAACACTAGAAAAGGTGGTATTAAGTTAACTGGTCCTTCTATTTATCATTAATCTCTGAAGCCTGCAGAGTTGCATATCTGTAGTCTAAATCAGAGCACACTTCTTTCTGAATTATTTTTTAGGTCTGGAATACAGGCTGTGTTATAAACGACATGCTTCAGCTTTCCTTTATATATTTCTTAGGAGCACAGTCACATTAAGTATTTCTTTAGAGTCTGCCAACAACAAG